CGTCGTTGCAGCAGATGCCGGCGGCGGCGCAGCGGCCCCCGCTCCCGCACGGCTTCTGGCCCGACTGGCAGGGCGACGGCAGGTAGTTCTCCTCCTGGCAGCGCAGCGCCTCGGCCGTGCCCACGAAGCAGCCCAGCTCGTCCCCGCAGCAGATGCTGGGCCCGAAGCAGCGCCCTTTGCCCCCGGGGCCGCAGGGGAGGCACTGGCGGGAGGGCAGGGGTGAGCCGGAAGCCGGGGTGGGCGAGCCGGGCTCAGTCGGGGGACCCCGCGAGGCGGGCGGGGAGTCCGGGCCCCTCTGGGCGGGGAAGGGCCGGCAGAGGAGCCCCGGAGGACCGGGTTCGCTCTGGCGCTGTTTTGGCCCCGGAAGCGGTCAAAGGAGGGGAGTCAAAATCGACCACACTCCTTTGGTTTTCAGGTGACTGAGGGCCGGCTCTCAGTGACAGCCCTCAGCATCCCCCCCGCTCCGTTGAGGGAGGGGTCTCTCAGGGGCTACAGCAAGGGGGAGGGCTTCCTCCTCAGCTCTGGGGCCTCAGTGGTCTGCACTCATCTCTCGGCTGCCCACAACCATCCCCCAACCTAGACCTTTTTCCCCTGCTCCTTGGCTCAACCTGGATCTCTAGCACCTCCCTCCGCACCCCTCCATGCAGAGAGGGCCCCGCCCCCTCCAAAACACAACCAGGTCCTTCCTCCCCTTTGCTGTCTGCTCTCCAGCCTTGCCCTCCACTCCCCTACACCTGGCTGGTAGACCTCACTGGGGCCCTGACCTCTGCTCACCTGCCTATGGACTAACCATGTGGGTGGCAGAGGCCTGAGCCCTCGAGGAGGGCGTGAGGCACCAAGCAGAGGGAAGGGGAGTCTGTGGGGGCTGCCCACCGACACACCCTAGTTTGTTCAACAGCTCAAAATTGAGCCACCTGTAGCCTGGGCAGAACTGAGCATAGTGATTGGATTTCCTTCAGCTCTGCTGAAAATGGAATAAAGGGGAATCCATTGGACATGCAGCACGAGAGAATTGGGCTAGATACCCAGCAGAACTTCCTTACAGGATGCTTGGGTGACACCTCCCACTCAGGCAAGCTCAGAGCAATGGCCAGCTTCTGTATTATTGGGCCCGGGGAGCCTGTGGCTTGGAGAGGCTGGGAGCTGGATGAGGAAGGCCTTGAATGCTAGGGGGGACAGATCCTCCGCTGCTCCAGCCAGTGCTGGAAGAGAGGCACCCATGGTTCTCCCGGATCCAGCCCCAAGCCCAGTTACTAGGGAAACATTTCTTTCATGCATCCCTTGCCTGGATGGGGACAGTGTCCAGGACACCCTACAGCCTATCCTAGCCTGCCTGGCAGCCTGGTCCCCTCTACCCCGCCATGCCAAGCCTCCCTTCTTCTGCTGGGCGCTCCCCTAAAGCCTGCCTCTCCCGCAACGTCCCTCTTTCCTAGCCCCTGCACTGTGGTGCCAGCCCTGGGGCTCTGCCCCTTCCCGGCAGCCCTGAGACGGGCCACAGTTGTACCTGTCTCAGCTCCAGGTCGGACATGGCCCTCTTGCCGCCCCTCGGGCAGTTCTGGAAGTAGCAAGCGGAGGTGAAGGCCAGCAGGCCAAGGAAGCAGACAGGCAGCATGGTGTCGGGCATCTTGGCGCAGGTGGGCACAGTGAGCGATGCTGCTCTGTGGACTGTGCTGCGCTGCCTTCGCTGACTGCCTATTTATGTCCGCAGGTGTTCCCTTGGAGGTGACGTGGCCGCCACCCCCCTTCCCCTGTGGCTCCCCAGGAGCCCACGGCCGCCAGGTCCCAAGCCGTCAGCAGTGATTCAGGCGTCTGGGGACACACGTGGGCCTGTCTGTGCAGAGGTGGTGGGGGAGGGGTACCGGCCTCCAGGCTGTCATTGGCAGCGGTGTGGCACAGTGTGACAGGAGCTGCCGAGACTGTGATTGCGGCTCTCTGGACTCAGGGAGAGGGACAGTCGGGGGTCGCCTGGAGACCGTCTCCAAGCTTTCTGGCTTTCAAGCTATCCCCCAGAAGAGGCCGGGGGTCAGTGAGCCCTGTCCCCTGACACAGCCCCCTGAGAAAGGGGTAGGGGGGTTCCCAGGGTCAGGCCCTGTCCCAGGAGTGGCAGGGCAGGGGACAGTCAGGTGTGTGGGACCCCATCGGGAGGGTTAGCCCTGTGAGAGGACAAGTGACCAAGAACGGCACACACCCAAGGTGGTGGGGACAGAGGGCTTTGTCCTGGCTGCCCCAGGAAAGGAAATTGCTGCCTGCAGCCCGTGGACCAGGCCGCTGCAGTTGTGGAGGGAAAGGACCAACACGGAATCAGGGAGCTATTCCCACAGAGTGGGTGGGGCAGGCTTCTGGGGGAAGCTGGGGAGCGGGGTCCAGGGACTCAGAGACTGGGGGCTTTGAGGACAGTTTCTTGTCATGTCACCATCACTCCCCTCCCAGGCAGGAGCATGGGGGAGGGGGACCTTCTATGGGGGTAAAGAGAAATCCAGACCCAGTAAGGTTCAAAGGTTGGGGGAAAGCCCCACAAAACCTGACAGCCAGCTTCCCCAATTCCTACCCCTGACAGGACCCTAGTTTGTGGGGACCAGGGCAGGTACCATCTCAGGCCTGGGGTGGGAGTGGGGACATGGAGGCTTTGGGGCTAGGGAGGGAAGGCACAGTCAAATGGGCCCAGCCTGAGAAAGCAGCCTTTGATTCATGACTCCAGGCTGGCGGGTTGAAGGAGCCGAAGCCTCCCTCTCCCAGGCCACCAGAATGCCCCTCTGGTCCTTGGACCCAGGCTGGCCACCCCACACCTCTCAGGCTTTGCACAGCCCCCAGCTGTCCCAGCCCCCAGGCGCTTGGCCTTCTTGCCAGGGGGCTGCAAGGAAGCTCCAGGGAACACTGCTGCCTCCTGCCTCTCAAGTGCTGTGAGGGGTCCGGAGTCCCAGGGAGGGGGCCTCCCACACTCAGGACCTGGTGCAGGCTTTTCAGGAACATCCCCTCAGGGGCTGTGAGGATGCTGGAGCTCGATGGCCTGTTGAAATCTGGCCTCTGGTGCTCAAAACTTCATGACTTGGGCGGGTCACTTGACCTCTCTGTGCCTCCCTTTCCTCCAGTGTAAAGTAGGGAAGATCCCAGTACCCACCTCATAGGGCTGTTGTGAGGACTGAAATCATGTGATATAGAAGAGGTTTAGAAACGCACCTGCACCACTGTAAAGTTAATTAATAGTAGTATTGTGTTATTAATACCATTACTCTTATTAAGAGCTGAAGAGATTTTTCCAGAGAGAGTAGCTTCCTGGGTTAACCCAGGAGGAACATTTTCATTGCATTCATGGCCTCAAAAGAAGCTGGGTCCAAACTATTGCCCTCCTGAGACTCTGTGGGTTGGGGGGCAGGTTGAGGCCAGACTGTGTGGCCTTGGCCCAGCACCTTACCCTCTCTGCGCTTCATGTCCAAGTTACCACCTGAAAAGGGATGGGGCTACACTACCTGAAGGGCTCAGGCCCTGGGACAGGCCAGGACATGTGTGTTCTGCCAGCCATGTCTACCAGGATCATTGTTCTAAGACTTGCCTCCCACACTAGGGCCTCCTTGAAGCCCCCAAACTCCACCTCCAGATGCCAGAGGATCTGCTTCTCCCAATATCCACCTTCTTGGAACCCCCACTGGCTGGAAAAAGTCTCATTACCGTGCTGATTGCTGCATTGCAAATATCTCACCTCACATGTAACATGGACCTTCTGGGTACCCCAAATGCCTTTTATACTTGCTTTCTATATTATATATACTTCACACCTTCTCCATCCTTACAAATCCTACACCTCGGCTCATTATCTTGATTTACACATCATTTTAAAAGGCAGGATTTAGCTCTTTCCAGTCCCTTCCCACCTTCCCCCAGATGTACCATCCCACCTACCATTTTCTTGATATAATGATGTCATAACGGTTAGATCAGTATTACGAGTTAAGACTGCAAATATGCCCTCCAAGCTAAGCCATGTGATATATTATGACGACATTTCCATCACTAAACAACTTTTTGTGTTCCCTGGAGTTAGTGATTGCCTCGGTTTTCATTGTGGTCCATCTACCATTTTTATCCAGAAGTCAATATTTACTCTTCAACTCCCTTCACTTAGGCTTCTGCCCAAACTAGTCCACTGAAACTCCTGTCATCAAGGTCTTAAATTACCTCCAATTGCCAAATTGGCTGATCATGTCTATCTCTTCATTTTACGTAATCCCCTAGCAGCATTCAACACAGTTGAGCACTTCTTTTTAAAAATATGCTTCATTTGGCTCCACTGACTCCACACTCTCCTGGTTTTTCTTCCACCACTCTGAATGTTCTTTCTCAGTCTCCTTTTCTGGCTCTTCCTCTTTGACCTTGACTTCCAAATGTTGGAGCATCCCAAGACTCAGTCCCGCATCCCTTCTCGTCTCCTCTTCCTAGGTAATCACTTCTAACCCCATGATTTTGTATGCTTTCTACAAACTAACGATTCCCAAATTCATATCTCCATCCTGGGCGTCTCTCCCGAGCGCCAGACTTGTAGTTACCACTGCCCAATGACACCTCCCCTTGGATATTCTATTGAATATCCAATAAGATTGGTGTCTCCAACTTAACATGGTCAAACTCATCTCCTGATTCTTAGTTGCTCCCCTGCTCTCCCCCAGGGTTCTTCAACTCTGCAATCACACCACCATCCAACCATCCGCTCCTCCTAGGATCTGGTCCTTCTCTTTCCCTCACTCTTTGTTAGTCTTACCTCTAAAATATATCTCAAATCTATCTGCTTCTTTCAGCACCTGCTTTGGAAGCTCAAAACCTGCTGTTTCCTTGTCCTAGAATGTTCGCCTACCCTCACCCCTCCCTGGGGTTCACTTGGCTGCTTAAGTGTCATCTCCTAAGAGGAGCCGTCCCTGGCCACCCTCCTGGAGCATCCCTCACCCCCACCTCAATTATTTCCTAACTTGGGTCTATGTTGATGGGTTTAATAGCACCTACTACCACTTGCAGGTCATTTGTTTGTCTCTTTATCCTTTGGTGTGTGTATGGCTGTCCGCCCTCTAGAATGAAAGCCCCAGGGCAGAAAGGATTCCATCTTTCTGTTCCATACTGTAGTCTCACTCCTGGTACAGTGTGAGAGAAAACCCACACAGTGGGTTTTCAATAAATTATGGAAAGAAGGGAGGGAGAGAGGGGAGCCCTGAGTACTAGCTTCAGCTCTCCAGGGAGTTATTGTGTGACCTTGGGCAAGTCGCGTCTGTTCCCAAGGTTACTTGCTTGATGCACTAACCCCACTTCCTATCTCACTGAGGTCTTAAGGGAATCAGATGAAGGTACTATAAAGGGTTAATATTTTCTGAAATCTTTACATAACAAAGAGTTGCAAGCCTCGAGATTAAACCCCAAATCTTAGAATGTTCTTTAAAGTACTTCCTTACCCTTAGACCATCTTTTCTGAGAACAAGTAACAGTTAACTGCCTCGTTCCCCCCACTCCTGTTTCTTATTCCTCTTTTTTCAGGGTCAGCCCAGTGTCTGTACCATATGACACCCCTGCTACCTGTCGGAAAAGGAGTTGGTCTCATTTTCTTTCTTTCTTTTTTTTTTTTTGTGAGGAAGATCAGCCCTGAGCTAACATCCATGCTAATCCTCCTCTTTTTGCTGAGGAAGACCGGCTCTGAGCTAACATCTATTGCCAATCCTCCTCCTTTTTTTTTTTCTCCCCAAAGCCCCAGTTGATAGTTGTATGTCATAGCTGCACATCCTTCTAGTTGCTGTGTGTGGGAGGAGGCCTCAGCATGGCCGCACAAGCGGTGCGTGGGTGCAGCCCCCGGATTCTGAACCGCCAGTAGCGGAGCGCTCCGCACTTAACCGCTAAACCACGGGCCGGCCCTGGTCTCATTTTCAAACGGACTCTGCTGCCAGCAGCAAGGACAGCTTCTCTTCTCGCCTGTTTTCCATTAGTCTGACTCGAGGACCCTGGACAGTATAGACACACAAATGCTCTGTAAAACTATGAAGAGGTGACAAAAGTGAGGAAAACTTGCAGGAGCCCAAGATCTGCTTATTGAATTGAGTCCGAGAGGGTGCACAGAGCCGGATAACGGACGCGAGAAGGCTGGTCCTGAGGCTACAGGGATGCAACTGAAATGGACCCACACGGAGAGTAAGAAAAAAAAAAGCCCTCACTCCTTAATCAAATGGGGGAGCTAACCGTGAATATTTATCAGCTCTCTAGAAGGGATTGCATTAAGCTTAAAAGAAAGAAGAAAGGAAAAGACCTCATAAAAATTCTTACTTGCAGAAAAAACCTAAATAAAAAGCAAAATAAACTAGGAAAAATGTTTTTAACAGACTCTTTTCTATAGTAAAAGCCCGTAGAGCGGCAAGATGGCTGGATTCACATCTGGGGACTCTGAGCTCCAGCTCCAGGTCCTGCGAGGCCGGCCTTGCGCACCCGCTGGGGACAATGGCTGCTGTCCCGGAGGCGACAGATGTTGCCCCCTTTGCTGGGCTGGGGAAGAGCCAGGGGATGTCCACATGCCCTCCCTCCACGCAGCAGCCAGACTAAAGGGCAAGAAATGCCCGTGGGCTGGGGGGAGCAGAAGCGAAAGTCGGAAGACGACAGGAAGCTTTGTGGGCCTTAGGGACCCGACGGGGCCGGCGAGTGGCG